GATATTAAACCGATTTCAACCCTTTAAATTCAAAATTTCGAAAAATCCTTTCTTAGCGCACGTCTATATCATAATAGCTATCTGTATGCCAAATTTCAGCCAGATCCGTTCAATGGTATGAGCTGTGCATTGATAGCAGTCAATCAGCTTACTATTTTATATATACAGATGTATATTGTATACAAAAAATGCATATTACTACCATACGACACACATAAGTACGTAGATAGAGCTATAAAGGTATGACGGTTGAAAGGAGTTTCTCCACACTTCGGAGACTAAAAACCTGGCTTCGTTCAATGATGACTGAAGATAGACTATCAGCATTATGTCTTATTAATGTATACCATAAAGCAGAGCTTGGCTAAAGAAATATTAGAGTTGCACATCCTGTTTGTTTTACAGAAGTGAAAAAAATATGACATTCGCTTCGTTTACATATAATAAATAATACATACTAACATCAATATTAAATAATATTATATTATACGTCATAATGTATATAGATTTTAATAATTTAAATAACAAATTCCTTTAATCTAATTTTAAAATTACTTCTTTTTTGTGACAACTTACTTATCACGAGTATCACTATATTCAAATTGGTGATGTTTGTTTGTAGCATCTGGAAACACACCATTGAAATAATGTTGTTGCTTATCCTTTGTTCTTGTAGTTCTATGTTTTTTGCTGTTCATCTATTTGAAAATTGATATATTAGGATTCCAATCATACTAGGGAGGCATGTTATAGTTAATGTATAAATACATATTTTCAGTTGAAATATTCGTGGTGGAACGTAATGGAGATTTTAATAAATTACTAATACCGTAGTTTTAATCTATTGATATTAATAGATAAATATTTATTATCAATGTTTTAATCATAATTTCTAATAATTCCAGAAAACAAAATAATGTCAAACGGTACCTATGTTACAAACTCATAGACATTTAGAATTAATTATTAAAAATTCAAATCATATTTTTTTTATGAACTGCACAACATTTAAATAAGAACTGCACATTTTAATTTAGAATTGGACATTATGTACACAACTATACATTAGCGCAAGCTCTGTCATAAAGTAGATATTCTAGATCAAATAGATCATACTATTGATATTTTTGCCAATTTTAAAAATAGACGACTTGAATTTGTGTTGTAAAAATTGTTGTTTTCTTTTTATTATAAGATTTTGTAAAATTATAACTTAGCCCCTCTAACCAAGGCTCTGGAGCCGCCCCTGAATATTATTCAGCAAATTTAATCCTCTATCTGTATTGTTCTTGTACATTTTTGAAATCCACCAGTGGCGATTACGTCGAGCCTTTTTTTTTTTTTTAATCAATTCATGAATTACTATAAAACCTGCGCACACACTTGAAGTTTGTCATTCATCATTTATTACAACTTTAAACTATTGTTAAATTAAATCAATTAAAGACACTTTAATTTAATTTTTAATGTAATTTAACATAGGTATGTACTTCACTCAATATAAATATAAAAAATTATCGGCTACTGAAAAACATCTTATTGCAGGAAAGCTGGAATAGGAGCGAATAGGTAAATATTGTTCGACTTTTTTTGTCGCACATTTTGCACAAACGAACAAACAAAATTCATACGAATGCTCACGCATTCTCACATGTTCGCGATGTGCGACGCACAAAAATACTCTCGTGTGTACATACCTTAAGTGTCTATTCTCCATCACAATTTAATATTTATACTATTTATAATTATTCTATTCTGTATATTTATTCTAAATAATAGTCGATATTAAAGTGTATAGTACTAAGCGTTAATATTATGCGTTTAATATTAAGTTATTATATTAATTTATATTATTTTTATATAAAAGTGATAGTGATCACTATAATTTTAGAGCTAAGGTAATAACCACTCAGGGATCATCAATAATTAGACACAGCGTCAATTAAATTAATCCATGGTGTACATTATCTACCATTTTTGCTTATAGTTATACCTACATATTATTTCTTCGATTTTTTTTTCTACTTGTTCAAATTAATCAAGAAATAAAATTTTATGTAATATTGTAATATTATCCCAACAAAAACACTACATCGAACTCCGTGTAAAAAATTGCTAAGTTAAAAAAAACTGGTCATCTTCAGCATTATAAAGATGTGATATCATGAATAATTGCTAAGTACACTAAATTTAAAAAAAAATGTATTCTATCTCAATAATTTATTTACTTTGCGATAATTTATTTCAACAAATAAACACGTCTATTCGTAACTGGATTATTTAAAAAATTTCCATTAGAAATGTTACTAAATTTGTTTTGTAAAAATGTCTTAATTACTAATTTATAAATAAAATAAACTATCGCAAAGTAAATAAATTATTGAGATAGAACACATTTTTTTTAAATTTAGTCTAATTACAAATTATATATATCACATCTTTATAATGCTGAAGATGACCAGTTTTTTTTGACTTAGCAATTTTTTACACGGAGTTTGACGAAGTGTTTTAGTTGGGTCATCAGTAGTTTTTTTATAACATATTATTATGTACCACCGGCATGTGATATGATTTGCAGGTTTTTATGTTTTTATTTATTTATTTATTATATTATTATTATGTTTGTTTATTTAATGTTTTATTAAATTTTTTTTTAAAATCATTTTCAATTTTTTCCCATTGTTATAATACGATCATATTTAAATTAATATTAAATTTAATTTTTCGTTCATTTATTGTTCTTATGTCAGATTGGTTGATATTATTATATTATTGTTTATTTGAATTTTCTCTAATATGTTTGCATATGAGTATATAGGATCATTTTTTTGTTTCATATTCTCGGTTAATTCATCATATGTAAACAATTTTTCCCACAAACGTATAGTTCCTAACGCATTTATATATTTATCACATTTTTTGGCCTACATTGGAGACAATTCATTTAAAGGTGGTAAGTGGAGTAAACTGTAAATTGTGTTTGTGTAAAATAGTTCTGTATACTTGGAATGATAAGACTGCCCTAAGACAAATTTAAGAAAATTATAGTTTAGGTCATTAGTAGCTGTAATACTAGGTGTATAGTTAATATTCTTATTTATTATTTCTTTTAGATTTTTTAATGCCTTTTGATAAATAACTAAATTTTTTTTTCAGTATGTAAGAATCCACTTCAAAATTCTATATACATTAGTTCTAAATGTATAAAGTGGCATATTTTATTTACCCAGAAGTTTATTTTATTAAATTATTTTATCATAAGTTTAATTTATTTGTCCATTTTTCTATGCTTCCATAAAATGGAAATAGTTTTCTTTGATTTTTACACATTTTTTTTTTTTTTGGTTTTAGTGATAGAATTATTTTTTGAACTTTCAACCATACATGATATAATATTATAGTATTCGTGTTTTTTTTTTTAAATAGTTCTTTGTTTTCGTATTTTATTTTTATATGCTTTACAAATAATTTTAGAAATTTTAGGAAGCAATTTAGATAATAATGATTAATATTAATTGTTGACGATCCACACGGCCCACTACAACAATGGAATACAATTACACGTGGTTTCGTATACTATGGCGCGAATACACACATGAATAATGAACGTACACACTAACACACTGATTATTGAATCATATCAGAAGTATACTTATACATTGTGTAGGTATATAAACATTGTATAATATACAAGTACTGACAAAAATATGATCTGCACATCGATTGATAACACAAACGCACTAATCCGTCCATTCATTAGGTCTGTAGCCTTGGCTAAAGAAAATGGGCAAACTCTGGCTCGTATAATGTACTACGGTAGTGACCGTTCCGCTTTTTTTTTTTTTACTTAGCTTCGCGCCATTACCGTCGCGCTGGATAATAAGTATTGTATATTCAATATTGTATTTTAGTGACCAATGCCATTAAGCGTCCACTCGGATTTTTGGCGACTTAAATTAAAGATTATGCATAATCTTACCTTAAATTAGAAGGGAGGCTCCGTCCCCCCACTTTAACCAACAGTGATAATAGAAATTATCGAATTGCTAGGAGTTTTTGAAATCCTGTCTTTTAATCTTACTTAAATGTAAATTATTCTCGAGTGTAAAGTAAATACGTCGTATAGATTTATTATCGTTAATATTTAATCTTATATTTTTCAAAAATAATTTGAGTACCTATACTTTTTAATACCAAAATCTGTTTAGTTCCAAAATTTTGTCTGATCTGAATGAATTAATTTGACTTCAACAATAGTAAATATTATCATTAGTGCCGTAGACATTTTACTAATTGATTTCAGGTATGATAATTAGCGAGTTGGATACGATTCATAAATTATTTCTTACGAAGTTGTATGCATTTATCTTTGTATCAGATTATTATTATAGAGTTCTTTTTAACTGTAATTGTTAACGTTCAAATGATTTATTACAATTTCTTTATATTAATTAGATTAAATGAATCAGTATATCAAATGTTTGTGTAAGACTCGTGTATACTTACATTTACCCTTGTGTTTGATAGTTCTTTTCCGAAATATTTTAAATATCGAAAAGTTACTCTTAGAGTCTGTGTAATATTTAGTATTTCGAATCGAAATTTTCCCGAAGAATTGCTTAAGAAGTGTTTAATAGTATTTTCAGAACGGAAAACGTATAAAACGAAAAATCAATAGTAGTATTATCTACCGTTGTGAATAACCATTATAAAAAAATTAACTATTTTCTATTAATTTCACAAAAATCTAAAATCATTAAATGATATTATTTATGTTTTTATTTTATTTCTTTTGCATGGTTGATGTATTATTGTTTTCTATAAATAATGTCAAATTTTCAAATTATTCATAATATTTTAATTCATGAGCTATCAAGTAGAAATTGTCAAAACGAATTAATTACGGTTAAAAACAGTCGATTTAAGTATAAAAAGTTCGTTAACGGTGTATTATAATGTATTTGAAAATGCTGATAAAAAATACGTATTTTTTTTTTCAGGTGACGATGACCGATTACCAATATGGACTTTCTAACATTCAGGACAATCATATTTTACAGCAGATCATCGCGAAACGGAAAAAAATGTGCGAATCGCTCTTGGACGACCCGCTAAGTGAGTTTTTCGTAGAAAAATATCGAATCTATATTTCATTGTGTTTTTCAACTGCTACATAATATAATATAGCGGTCAGAAATCGCAATGGACAGTGGCTTCAATCTTTGTAAAAATAATGCAAATAATAACGACTAACAAGCCAAAATGGAAAATATACCGTCTGCAACACGTGGGTTGAGGCTCCACAGCACACGTACACTTACAGTATATACATACAGGTTTTAAAGTTCAAACGGACGTTTGATACGACGTAATAACATTCGCTCTTGAACTGCATCAGCATACCGTTTAATTTACTCAAACCAAAAGTTTTGCCGGTTATACCGTTCAGCGTTTTTCGTGTCCCTTATGAACGTATAATACTCGACGCTTCTGCGAGTGCGTTTGACAAATTTATCATGTTTTTGTTCAAATAATGTGACGTCCTGGGACTAAACTAATTTGACATGATATGCACGCTCGTCGTTCGCTCGGAAAACACGTATTTGTAATAATTCCCAGACATAGTGCATTGTAAAGATTAAAGTGCGTAAGTACAAGCATAAATGTGATTCTAAATGTTCAAGTGATGGATAGCTTGCATCAAAAAAAATAAAAATAAAAAATGAATGAACTCTATGGCTTCCGAGCTATGTCGATTCACGGTATGACATGGCAGCCAAAATGTGTGTGTAATATTGATGTACGATCTAAAAAAAATAGAGTATACAATGTTCCTCTGATCGTGATGCTGTAGAGTTGAAAAGTAAAATAAAATATGTTTGATTTAACAAATCAGAGAAAACCTTTGTGAAATTTAATTTGATACCAGGTCGTACATTTTGTTCGTGTTTAATAAACAGTATTAACATAAAGCCACGATAAAGAGATAAAGAGATATGTGTGGTTTTACGTCCCTATTTGTTCTATTCCACAATGAACCACATTGTATTCTATAAAATGTCGAAGACCAAATTTGTTTTGTTTTATATTTGTATTATTATTATTATATTTTAATCATTTATACAAACAAAAACGTTAGCTTTAACCACAAAAATGATAAAAACCAATTTACTAAATTACACAAATAAACACTAAAACATAAAACCTGGGATCTCTGGATGAATAATTTAACAGTGATCCTAATTTTTATAAAGTCTTTTTTTTTTTTACTTTAGAGTGAGATAACTGTTGGTTTTACTGCGATACGAGGTATTTTTTTTCCCAAAAGACATCTTTAATTTTCTAATAAAAGTGCTCAATAATTTCGTAATTGAAAATCATTGCTTTTTTTTTAATATCAGCAATATTGTCATAATATTATGAAATATTCATGGCGAAATTTATATGATTTTGGATGTATTCAATTTTAAAATTTCGCGGAAAGAACACTAATTTATTGTTTTGAATATTCAGTACATTTCTAAAATCATTTTTTAAAATTAATTATTATGTTATATTTTTAGTTACATTGAACACTTAAAGTTTTGAAACAAACTATTTATAATAGTATAGGATAGTCTTCGAATGCGATAAGTTGTATTTGTTAATGCATTTCTTTTAAGGATTTCACTGTGTGTTTTGGAATATAATCGCACATTAAAATACAGGGAGATAACTGAAAAACATAAGTTAGAACAATCCATCAAAATATTTTATAGATGCTATCTCATAAAGATAAACAGCTTTAAACAATAGTTTAAATTAAATAAAGCATAACCTGAGTAGGTTAACGCATTAAAACACTTCACCAGCGTGAAATGCACATTTTTCCCATTTGAAAGTTTTCGGGCGACGTGATATAGTTTGTCAACAAATCAAATTCAAAGTAAGTGTAGATTTTCTATCTGTTCAGCTTGGGTGCTTCAACATTTCACGCGGTTCCCGGGAACGAATCGGTCGACGTTATCCGAATAACGACGAAATTACACAAATTATCCGGGGAATGTCAAAGACACGATTGTTCGATTGCTGACGTTAACCATTATACGGGTGATCTGAGATCCATTGTCTACAAGCGCACAAGTCACAAGTGTTTAATAGCAATCAGTGAGCAAAGCGGAATCGATTGAAAGATTTAGAGAGTTAGTTTCTTTTTTCTAACTCCGTAGTGCATTAGGTGGATACACGGTGCGGTCGGTTGAGTCTTACACGGCGACGAAAATTTCAATTGAAAAAAACTTTTATCGCCAAAGTTCAGCTTAGTCTATCAGTTGTACATTTTTGTGTATAGGTTATGTAAAGTTAGGCGCATTCAATTGTGATGTATTCACTGGAGGTGTCGAGCATATTCGTAATTTCTTACCACTTTGAATCGTGCAGGTAGTACGATAGTATCAAATAAATTTTATGATAATCTCAAATAAACATTTTGTTTTCATATTTTGTTGACCGCAAAACGCACAACGTCGAAAATTCATAGAATTTAATCTGTAATAAGAATAACTCAGTAATTTAAAGATTATAAAAGAATCTCTGTGAACAAGTACTACAACTTAGTAAAATGAGTAAGTTCGTTGGGATTTGGAAACAAAATTAAAACACGATTCGTATAGAATATAATAGTTTGATATTTTTCAATACATTTTGAAATACAAATACATATGAAATGTAAAATTATTAAAATTACCGTTAAAATATTTTTCGCTATTGTTTATGCTCAAAAGTTTTCAGTCGAGATAACGATTACTCTTCAATAACAAAAATGCACACGAGTTCAATTTCAGCATTTTTTCTTTTTTTATTTTCTCTCTCCCGTTCCGCCCCCTAACTCTTTATATTTTTTTAATTTGGATGAAGTGGTCTATAATTTTTTATTTATTAAAACTTTCATTTTTCGCCGTTCTATTGTGGTACATATATTTGAATAATATATAAATTAATGATGCGGTTACGTGTTAACATCCTATTTTTAACAGGCTACGCAAGCGAGAAGAAATAGAAAATATCAAAAGCTCCTTATCGAAACGATACATTATGCGATAATGTGCAATTACTTCCGCTGATTAGCTTAAAACTATCACGGGTCACCTAACTTGTTTATATCGATGAAATAGTTATATGATATTAATACGGTTAAATATGGTGCCAATTCACCTGGTGCGATTTTACAATGTCTTAAAAAAATAAAATTAATTAACAATTAAAATTCGTCGACTGACATTATTCAATATTTTTAGGTTAAATGTCAGCGCACATTGTTTAACTGTTTCATTTAGGTAGTATATTTCCGCATATCTATAATATTAGACATTAAAGAACACATTATGAATTTGTACGGTAAAATAGATAAATCGATATTTTTATTTAATTGAAAATAAGAGATTTCTTAATAACAATTTACTTTATTTAACAAAAAAATCAACAATTAAAGTGTCATCATTAAGTGACTTCTTTTATGAACATATACTTTTACTCATGTTATTTGTTTTATTAAATTACATATATGTATTATGTCTACTGATATAGATTGTATATTTCGACCTAAAAGAAAATAAAAAAAAATGTAAAAAAAAATACGACCTAAGTCTTTAACACATCATTATAAAATATCAAATTTTGTCTCATTCCCTATAGGCTGTTCATTGGTTAGCACTACTCCAAAGAGCAAAGTGACAGTCAGTGGTCAGTCCCAGTGGACCTGCCCAATTATATATCTTACATCATTTATTTTTTGAACTGCGTGATTCACAAACATAATTCAAAACATTTTTTAATTATTTTCTTATGTATTTATTAATATTTTATAAAACAGCATTGATTGATTGTATAATAATTTGTATAAATTATAATTTATAATGTACGATCAAAATGAGCTTACGAATTTCTATCCTGGAAGTTGGAAAATTGCTTGTCATTATTTATTCTACATAAAAATGTATGATGTTAAAATCGGTTATATTTTATTTATACTATAGGTATGAATTAAACACTAGAAATAAAATATGAACAATGTATTTTAAAGTAAATCAAATAACATTGACATAATTTTATTTGAAAATAACAATAAAAAGGTATTTTAACATACGTGAATTATATACGTAAGCGTGCTGATGTAGACTGAACTATGTACTGGATACTTGAATATTATTATAATAGGTGTATATTGTTGATGGAACGTATATATGATATGTATATTATCAGTTTTTGTAATGTTGTATGAATTATAATGGTATGACTAACGAAAAGGTCATAAATTTACGCGAAATAAAGGTTTATTTTGTATGTAATTTGGTGAACAATAGGTACTTAGATTTTTCAAATTCACAAAACAATTTACCACTAATTGAAATCAAACCATGATTTTTTATTTATTTATTTACAATTATTTTAACGTAATACATAAGCTTAAAATGCTATTCGTTATGAAATATTAAAGTTTACAATAATAGTAAATATGAGTAAAAAAAAAAAATACAATAATTAATACCACACAAAACTATATATTAGTAACTAATAAGTGTCAAAGTTAAATTATTTACCTATAGTATTTGTTTTGTTATTTGTACTTATAAATATAGCTGTAAGTAAACTTTCTGTTTTCATAAGTTGTAAAAGATAATACTGCTTTTTGTCTTTGTGTTGTTTATTTTAAATGATAGAAAATACAAAACTTTCTTATGAAAATGATCTTGCTACTGCTGCTGAAGTTGTGAAACAAAAGCTATTTATGTTTTATATTCCATTTGAAAATTGGCCAGCAAAGTTTTCATATATCTACTGACATTAATCATCTGTTCACCTGTTCTGATTGTATGTACATAGTGAATACATTAAACCTTATATATCCCTAATTGATAACGTGTTATGCCCTAATATTATACATAACTTTGACCTCCTAATAGAGTCAGAAAAACAATAACATTATAAATAATAACATCAATCTCTGTGGACTATTGGGGAATTCATTAAAAACACATTGAAGTAGTTAAACAATAAATTTATCAATGGTGGAAACATTTTCATATTAAACAATTAATTTCAATTTATAAATTTAAACTGATGTAGTATTGTATTTA